AGCAGGGCGGGGGACTCTGGTCCTAGATGCTTCAGCTTACCCACTCCACCACAGTGCTAGTTCCCACTTGGCCTGGGCTGGATGGAGCCTGCTTCCTACTCACAGAGAACCTCCCTGCTGTCCATCCAGGTACCTGGCAGGTTGGCAGAGAAATGAGGGCCTCCCGGAGTAAAGAACTCACGACTGGCATAGCCACGGTTACCAAGCGAAACCAGGAAAAAGCGAGGCAACCGAGGCGGTTGGTGGATTATTGTTCAGTAAATTCTGGCATTGTGGAAAGATGCACACAGTGCCCTGGGTGTGGAGGTGGGTAACTTGGGTAAAGGATGCTGGCACTCTTTTGTCCAGCAGGGCCTAGAGGAGGACAGCTGCCCCACCCCCAGGCTCTTGTTCCCATCTGGACTCTGTGGTCAGAGTAGGCCACGTGCTGTAGTTCCAGTCCTGCAAACTTGGAGTTAATGCACTATCTTCCCCTCTTCTGAAGGTCTGCATGCTATACAGTCCTTCCCTTCCCTCTCTTATTCCCTCTAACCCTTCCTCCCTCCCTCTCCTCCTTTCTCCCTTCCTTTTTGCAGAGCTAGAGAACAAGCCCAGGGCCTGTCACATACAAGGCAAGTACAGTACCCCTCAGCCACACACCCAGATATCGTGACAGTTACTTTCAGCATATATACTGAAAATTAGTCAATCCAAGTTCAGTACAAGTTTAGGTTGCTAGGAGCCTCTCGTCATAAACTTTCTTTCGTGCATGTATTTTATTTTCCTTTCTGCAGCCTCCTCCCTTTATAAATATGTGCACTCTGTTTTTTTATTTGCTTGTTTTTGGACAGGATCTCAGTACAGCCCAGGCTGGCCTCAAACTTTCTGTGTAGTTGAGGATGACCTTGAACTTCTGATTCTTCTGCTTCCCCTCTCCACCCCCAGTGCTGGATCTACAGGCTTATGCCACCACACTGTTTATTCAATGCTGGGAATTGAACCCAGAACTTCATGCATGCCCAGCAAGCAGTCTACCAATTGAGCTGCAGCTCCAGGCCAAAGTCTATGCTTTCTGTTCAAAAACACTTTATTTTTTTAGATTTTATTTAAATTTCTTTATTATTTTATGTGTGTGTCTATTTTTTGTTCTTTAGCTCTTTATTTTATTACTCATTTATGTGAGTGCATGTCATATGTATGCAGGTGCCTACAGAGGCCAGAAGAGGTCAGAGATTCCCTGGAGCTGGAGTTACAGGGGGTCAGTTGGGAGCTGACTGATGGGGGTACTGGGAAGTGAACTCAGGTACTCTAGAAGAGCCGCACTCACTTTGTTTGTTTTTGCTGTTGTTTTTTTGAGACTAGATCTCCTTGTAGTCCCAGTGGGCTTTGAACTGGTTGTATAGCCCAGGCTGGCCTTGATCTCACAGAGTTGCCTACCACTGCCTCCTTAGTGCTAGGATTAACGATGTGTACCACCACAACTACTCAGCAACTCTAATTTTTTTTTAAAAATTTTATTTTATGTGTATGCGTTTATTGCCTACATGTAGGTAAGTGCACCCGTGTCATGCAATGCCCACAGAGGACAGAAGAGGTCTTTGGATCCCCTGGAACTGGAGTTACAGACAGTTGTTTGCTGCCAGGTGGGTGCTGGGATTCGAACCCAGGTCTTCTGCAAGAACAACCAATGTTCTTATCTGCTGAGCCATCTCTCCAGCCACACAACTCTAATTTTTAAAAATATATTTATTTTATTACTTTTTATGTGTGCATGTCTATGTATGTGCACATGTATACAGGTGCCCTCAGAGGCCAGAAGATTGGATCTTGGATTCCCTGGAGCTAGAGTTATACCTACTTGGGTGCTGGGAACTGAACTTGGGTCCTCTGCAAGAGCAGCAAGTGCTCTTAACCACTAAGCCATGTTTCTAGCCCTGCAACTCAAATTTGTATTTAGCTTTGTGCATGTCCACTACTGTCCAAAAATGAGTCCACAGTGATGACCTGAGTTACAACTAAACTTTAGCAAAATCTTTTAAAGGAGTCACAGTGTCTTTGCTTCTCTTCTGTCTCTATCTCTTCTATTTATTTATTTATTTATTTATTTATTTACTTATTTTTGAGACAGGGTCTCCCTGCAGCCCCAGCTGGCTTGGAACTCATTATACAGACCAGCCTCGCCTCCATCTCACAGAGATCTGCCTGCCTCTACCTCCCAGTGTTGGGATTAAAGGTGTATGCCACCACACCCAGGTTCTGTCTCTCTCACTCTGGGCTGGGGGGGTGGGGGTGTTCTCCTCCCCAGTGATATTAGTCATTGCTAGGACTTAATGGAGACACTCCATAGACCCAGAATCTACCCCTGAGTTTTGGCTCAAACAAGGGATTAGGGCTGGTCAGTTACCCGAGCTTGACTGGACTAAGGGATTCCTGGAGGCAGGATTCACTGCAAAACCAGGAAATCCTGGAAAACAGAATGAATTGGTCACCGTGATTTACTCTTCTTGTTCCTGACAAAGGCAATGTAAGGAAAGAAGGAAGGGTTTGTTTTTATTTATTTATTTATTTTTGTTTTTTGGAGACAGGGTCTCCCTGTAGCCCCAGGCTGGCCTTGAACTCACAGAGATCCCCTTGCCTCTGCCTCCGGAGTGCTGGGATTAAAGACGTGCGCCACCACGCCCGGCTATTTATTTATTTTTTAATATTTTATTATTTTTATTTTATGTGTATGAGTGTATTGCCTGCATGTATGTGAGTGCACCTGTGTTGTGCAATGCCGTGGATGTTGGAAGAAGGTGTCAGATTCCCCTGGAACTGGAGTTTAAGGACGGTTTGTAGCTTCCATGTGGGTGCTGGGAATTGAACCCAGGTCCTCTGCAAGAGCAGTCAGTGCTCTTAACCACTGAGCCATCTCTCTAGCCCCCATTATTTTTATTTTCTGTGTATTAGTGTATTGCCTGCATGAGTGTAAGTGCACTCATGTTGTTCAATGCCTGTGGAGGCCAGAAGAAGGCCTCAGATTCCCTGGAACCAGAGTTATGGACAGTTGTTAGCCACCATGTGGGTGTTGGGAATCAAACTCCAGGTCCAGTGCTCTTAACCACTGAGTCATCTCTCCAGCCCCCCAAATAGTGAAGTTTTAAATCTAAATTATTTAATATAACTGGATAGTAAAACCTTTATTTTTTGTCAAAATAAAAGTTTTTCAACCCTTCCGGGCATGGTGGCACACTCCTTTAATCCCAGCACTCAGGAGGCAGAGGCGGGCAGATCTGAGTTCAAGGCCAGCCTGGTCTACATAGTGAGTTCCAGGACAGCTGGGGCTACAGGGAGATCCTGTCTCAAAAAGACAAAAAAAAATTTTTTTTTCAACCCTACTGTTTTCTCTGTTTCCTAGGTGTCTAGTTGCTGTAGTGACAGGCTCATGTTTCCTGTAACTACTCAATTCAATGGCGATAGGAGGAGGCCCGCCCCAGCCTTTACACCCCACTTTCGCCAATCAATCCCAGAGTGAAGTTTGAATTAGAACGAGAGCTGCAGGAAAACAGACACTTTTTCCCCCAGGAAAGAGTTTCATTATTGCAGCTTCAATGGCTTCCCTGAATGGGGAGCTCAGGAGGGAGCTGTTTCCAGTCCCCAGCACTGCCAATAGAGCCCTGGGGAGCTCGTGTGGGTGCGTGCGTGGGTGCGTGTGTGTGTTATTGTGCAAGGGCCAGATGAGGAGCAAGGGTGTGAGGCAGGCACAGACACTGCGGTGGGAGTGAGGACTGTGTGGCCAGGCACTGTCGGGGCCCTGTCTGCCCTTCACAACAGGCCACACGATGAGCCCGTCAGCTGCTTTCTCCTCCAGGGCACAGTGAGCAAAGCAAAGCTCTTCAGGTGTAAGGCAGAAAGAGAAGCACCTAGTACGGGAGGATGTTTAAGAAGGTGATGTGTGGAGAACAGGCCCTAAAAGTTTTCTACAATTTAGAAAGGAGACCAAAGGGGCTGGAAAGATGGTTCAGCAATTAAGAGCACCTGAGGTTTGTTCTTTCCGAGGACCTGGGTTCAGTTCCCAGCACCCACACTGGATGGTTTATAACCACCTGTAACTTCAGCATCAGGGGATCCAACACCCTTTTCTGGTCTCCACAGGCACTTGCACACACGCGGTACATATACAGATAAGCAGGCGCGCGCGAGCACACACACACACACACACACACATAAAATTAAAAATATATGTTTGGAGAAAAGAAACAAAAGGAGGACAAGAGAGAGGAGTATTAGGTGACAAGGGGGGACGAGGTGCAGGCAAAAGGACGAGGAGTCATGAAAGAGGGTAGAGAGCAAGTTTTCAGTTCCAACTCTGCCATGGTTCCCGCTCGCCCTGGTGGGTATGTGAATTCAGCTTTCTGTGTACTTAAGTAGCAAGAACTATTCTTGCGTTCCCAAAGAATCCAACACGTGTCACTCCTTCGCGACCGTGCTTGTGAAAGTTGCTTTCTTTTTAATTCCACTGATCATCAGCACGCATGAGGCCCCAGGTTCAGTCCCCAGTACCGCAGAAATCAAACAAAATAATTACGAAATTAAAAAATCGCTACCACTCTCCGTGAACTAAAAACGTACCAAAAAAAAGGCAAAACCAGAAAACTTCCACGAAAACAACGCCAATACATTCAATTTAGATGGTAGTATGGTGGTCATGCTTCAGGGTGCAGGTCCCGCGTGAAAAAGAAACGGAGAAAAAGTCACAGGCCGGACGGGAACCCAGGCGACCAGCCTCTGCGCCCTCCTCCAGCCTGGGGCTCCCCGACCCCGCCCCCTGCCGGGAGGGAGGGGGCGGGGCGAGCGTCCTGCACGCCCATTGGTCCTCCCGAAGGCTCATTTGCATGGCCCGAGCGGGGGCGGGGCCGAGGCTGACGTCACCCGGGGATTGCCTTGGCTGCTGCTGCTCGCCGGGACTCAGAACGCGAGCCGGCGGGGAGCGGAGCGGAGCTGCGGCTGCGGCCCCGGCGCGTGGGCACGGGTACCGCGAGCGCCCCACGCGCGCCGCTATGTACGACCCCGAGCGCCGCTGGAGCCTGTCGTTCGCCGGCTGCGGCTTCCTGGGCTTCTACCACGTCGGGGCCACCCGCTGCCTGAGCGAGCGCGCCCCGCACCTCCTCCAGGACGCGCGCACCTTCTTTGGCTGCTCGGCGGGGGCGCTGCATGCAGCCGTCTTCCTGTCCCGGGTCCCTCTCGGTGCGTCCATATCACCCCAGAGTCCCCACGCGGGGATGGGGCACCCGAGGCTTCGGTGATCTCCCCCCATCCCCGAGCCTGCCCAGACAGGTGGCCCCCCGTCGCGGTTCTGTCTGTCCCCGGGCACGGGGAGGGGACGCACCCCAGGGGTGTCCCACGACTTTCCGGAGTGGGGACCCCAAGCGCGGGCGGCCGGGAGGCGCTCTGGACCCGGAGATGTTTGAGCATCCTCTTCCCTGGCCCTGTCCTGGTCCTGCAAGCTGGGGTAGGATGGGGAGGAGGGGGTCCGGGAGCAGGGAGTCAGGACGCACCGGGCGCAGGGTCCTCTCGTCCCGCCGTTACCAGGGCTGGATTTGCTCTGGTTGTCGTCATGGTGTCACCTGGAGGAGCTGAAGACACCAAACTTGAGCACTTTTGGTCCAGGTCCACCCCTTTGGGCGCCTGGAGAGGTGGCTGCTACAGGGTGGGGTGCGTGGGATAGGAAAGTGCTTCTCCCTCCTTCAGTGTTTGGGACCCTCCCTGGAGGCTGGGGTCCTGGACAGGGCCCATCACATCTTTTCCAGTCTTCACTGATCAGGGCCAGGCCTCCCCTCCCAGATGCGTGCCACTGGCAGTGACATGAGGGTCATTTGAATCCTGCCTGATTAAACAGTCCATGTGTGGAGGGGAGAAGGTGGGCTTACGTCTCTCTGCTAACTGTTGGGATGCCATACCCTACCCCGTGTGTCACAGCCTAAGGCTGGCAGTGGGCAGGGACTGGGGTAAGTGCCCACAGGGAGATCCCTGTCTCAGGAAAACTAGCCACAGGCCCCGAGGCAGGATGATAGTATCCCTTACCAGCCCCCGTTGATCTGGGCCTCTTTAACACTTTACTCTTTGCTCTGCTGCCACTGCCAGCAGGGAGTGACTTTGGCTAGTGTGGGGAAGTCCCTGCCGATGTATGGAGCTCTGCCATTGGATAGAATCATGTGAGCAGACCCTGGGCTGATGGGACTCAAGGATTAGGAGGCTAGCCGTCCTGGCTATCTGCCTGCTTGTCTGTCTACTCCAGCAAGGGAGGGAGACAGGGGCAAAGGGCAGAGAGTGGCCTGCGGGAGGACTAGACCAGCCCCGTGGCCACCTGCACACCCTGGGATTCAACAGGGACCAAAGGCAGTTCCTACATGTGGGGGCTCTGTGCTCCCACGTGGATGAATGATTGTCAGCACAAGAAGCCCGAAGTACACCCACTCCTGTCTAGAGGGGGTTCTTAACTGTGCAGAGGACAAGGGCAGCCTGGGGCTGTCCTGGCGGAACACTGGAAGACTAGAGCTGCAGGTTGCCTGCCACAGGTGGGGAAGCTAAAGTACATTGCCTGGGGTGCTGTGATTTGGGCCCAGGTCCTTGGGGCATCTGAGTGTTGGCTAGACTTGGCAGAGGAGAGGAGGGGCAGAATCTGCCAGCAGGGTACAAGTTCACCCCTCTGGGCAGGCTCAGAAGTGGGTTGCCGTTTGCTGGGAGTCAAGGTTAGACTTGGATCAGGACAACTGGGACATGTCTGTCTTTGTGCAGCCCAGGATTTTTGTCTGGCTAAGGCTGGAAGAGGTGGTCCTGTGTGCCAGGGCAGGACAGATTAACCCGAGGGGGCCTGGCTGGGGAGTAAAGCACCCACCACACCTTCTGGGGATGCTGGGGTTAGAGGCTTCTGGGGAGACTAGTCAGCCACTTAAATAGTCTTTTCTAGGTAGAACATCTTGCAAATCTTATTTCACTCAATCCTCTCTGTCTCCACAAAGGCAGGTAAATCTCGTTCTCCATGAAAAAGGCAATCTAGGGTGTAGACAGGTGGCAGAGTGCCTTCCTGAGTGTGAGGTGGAAATGGGATTCAAATTTGGGTCCAAACTTGGATTATTTCCCCTACACCATCTGTGTAGAGGCTATGGTGCTGATGTGTTGGTGGCTTCTGGCTTTGTGGGCATGCAGGCGGGAGTTCTCACAAACATGGGCCACTGAAAGGGGCAGCCATGTTCCTGTAGCTTAGACCCAGCCTAGGACTGTCCAGGAGACACACACCTCAAGCCCTATAGACCATTTCCTAGCTGTTCCATTGAATAAAGTCAGACATAGGTGAAACTGATTTTATAGTGCTGCTAATGCGGAGTACTGTCACCTTCCTGTCTAATCACTATGAACCACTATTCACTAGATAGTGTTGCCTGCTAAACCTTTGAAGTGTGGGTGTGGTCTATAGCCACTTGGAAAGTAACGTGCCTGATCTTGACTGAAATAGCAGGATGTGTTTTATAGGTCTTAATTGGGGCCAGCCACTCTTTTATGTGGTTTCTGTTCTTACAAAAAAGTATCCCCTATCTCCAGTGTGGTACCCTGTTTTGTGTGTTTGTCCTCTGACCCCCCAGACCAGACCTTAGAAATCCTCATGGACCTCGTGCGGAAGGCCCGGAGCCGCAACATTGGCACCCTCCATCCATTCTTCAACTTAAACAAGTGCATCCGAGATGGGCTCCAGGAGACTCTCCCGGACAACGTCCACCAGCTAATCTCAGGCAGGATATGCATCTCGCTCACCCGGGTGTCTGACGGGAAGAACGTGCTGGTGTCTGATTTTCATTCTAAAGATGAAGTGGTAGATGTAAGCACTTTGCTGCTCTGGGTGTGGTCAAATCAGAAACAGCATGTCACCCTGGGTCAGGGTGACATGAACTCTGTGAATCCAGTGAGTTGGTCTAGTTTCTGGAAGCCCCACTATGCCAGGACACTTGCTTGTCTCTTTCTGTCTCTGTCTCTCTGTCTCTGTCTCTCTCTTTTTCAATGCTGGGGGTGGAAGCCAGGGTCTCGGCATGCCAGGCATGTGCTCTCTCCAGCAGCTGCACCCTGGCCCCATTGTTCCATTTTCAGGCTGTCCTCCCTTCAACCCTCCACTTCTAACCTCCCAGAGAACTGGACCTGGGTGTGTCCCTCACCTTACGCATCTTACATAGTGAGGTTGGCTTTTTTGAATGAAGCTTCTCCAGGGTGGGAACATGTCTTATTTGCCTCTATTCTCCAGATCTGGCACAGACAAGATAATTTGCAATATCAAAATGCCATCTGCCTTGGCTTTTGCTTCTCAGAGCTCCTGAAGAGTAACTGCATTTGACTTAACTCAATCTGTATGAGGCAGCATCCTGCACCTGTGGCCAGCAGCCCTGCATACAGTCTTGATTTCTACTTAAACATCTGGAAGCTTCTGAGCAACCAGTACCTGCTGTGCCTATATATACCTGTTCCTCAGTGGACAGTGTGCTGTCCAACATAGTGATTCTCAAAGTGTGGTCCCGGGAATCCCTGTGTCATTATGACCAGGGAACTGACTGGAGTTGTGGGTTCTTGGGACCTATCTCCAATGGGAGAGGGCCTGGATCTGTGTTTCCTGCAGCTCCCAGGTCTACCCCTGCGGCCACCAAGTCAACAGTGCTCCAGTCTGGGAGCAAGCACAGGGACTGAAGTACACAGGCAGTGTGGTTAAGGAGCTGGTGCTGCCCACAGGACTCAAGGCCTCAGGTTACAAGTGTGAGGGCCAGTCATGTGCCTGGGTGTTAAAACACCTACTGCGTTCAGCTCCCTTGGGGAAGGCGAGAGGACCCAGGGAAGTCACAGGCCCCATCTTGGCCATGGCCTCACTGCTCCTTTGTTCTCACAGGCCCTGGTATGCTCCTGCTTCATCCCTTTTTACTCTGGCCTGATCCCTCCTTCCTTCAGAGGTGAGGTAAGTATGGACTGGAGACAGCAGAGCCCTTGTGGCCTCCTTTACAGCCAGCTGGCTCTGACAGCCAGGACCACATCTGACTTGGAGACACGCTTGGCCTTGGGGTCAGAATCCATGCCTGACTTCCTGGCGGCCTGAGCCATAGGCTTACACCCCCAGGAGTCACCTCTACCTCCAGGTCTGCAGCCTATAGGGTTCCCTTAATCTGCTCAGGAGCACCCCATGGAGACTCCCTGTGGCCTAATTAAAGTGTAAGGCGCTTAAGAATTGATTACTCCTCTTAGGTAGTTACTCTCAGGGGAAAACAGACCAGCTGTGTGTTCCCTTTTATTTTGACAGGGTCTCACTCTGTAACTCTGGCTGGTTTGGAACTCTATGTAAATCTTGCTGGCCTCAAACTCACAGAGATCTGCCTGCTCTGCCTCTGCCTTTGCTGGGATTAAAGTCATGCCCACCATGCCCGACAGTGACGCTATCTAAATTTTCTTTTGTTGCTTTGAGGCAGGGTCTAATGCGACCTCCCAGTTGGGCCTGCAGCAGGCTGAGGCCACCAGGAGTTTCAAGTCTTGATCCTCCCACTTCCACCTCTGGAGGCCTGGGTGCCTTCACCCTCTCATTTTAGGCAGTACTGGAGATCAAACCCAGGGCCTCTGGTATGCTAGGGCAGCGCTCTGTTCACTAAGCTACATCCCCCCCAGGTGTGCATTTCTTAACATCTGAGCATTTCCTAAAAATCTGTTGGTCTGGCCCTGCATAGATCTTTGCTTTCTTTGACTTTACCACTTTGTGATACCCAAGAGAAAATCTGTAACACGGTAGGCTTTTAGGGCCTTTCTTGAGCTCATGGAGATCAGTGGCAAGGAAACCAATAAAATCCCTTGGGCAGCAGAGGGAGGGGGCGGATCCAGGCACAGCACCCCTCTGCCTCACAACCACAGGGGGACAGGGATGAGTTTAAGGCCCTCTGCATGCTATTGAAATGCATCATCTGCGCTTTAAATTTTTTTTTCTTACATTTTATTGTGAGATAAGGTTACCCAGGTGGGCCTTGAACTTACCATCCTCCTGCCTCAGCCTTGAATTCTGGAATTATGGGCCTGTGGAGATGTGACTGTAATCCCTGCCTGCCTGGCAGGGAGGTGGGGGTGGGGGCGGGGCTGGGGCGGTGGGGGGCTGCCCCAAGGAAGCTATGAGCTGGGTTTCCGTTCTCCACTGCCCCAGTGGGCAGTGCCTTGCAGTGCTGTCTGTGAGTGCTGAAAGTTTCAGGAACCCAGACCACGCCCAGGTCGCTTTTTACCAGCCCTGTGGTCATCCCAACTCACAGATGAAAACACTGAGGTCTGAAGCCAGGAAAGGGTCTCCGGGCTCTGGGGCAGACAGCTAGAATCCAGTCTCTGTGCTCCCTAACACGAGCTGGGTCATTTGGGACACACTTCTTTTGTTGCTGTTAACATAGGATGTCCATATGTAACCAGGCTGGATGCCTTGGTCTTCAAGTGCTGGAATTACAGCCACGCAGCCCTGTGTCCTGCTCACTTTTGTTTTCCAATATGGCTCTGACTGTTCTCAAACTCACTATGTAGCCAGGGATGACCTTGAACTTCTGATCCTCCTGCCTCCATCTCCTGAGTACTGGGATTACAGGCATGCTCTACCCTGCATAGTTTGTGTGGTCCTGGAGAGTAAACCCAGGTCTTCTTGTGTGCTAGGCAAGCACTCTACCAACTGAGCTGCATTCCCAGGCCCTGTTAACCCTCTGAGGTTGAGTTTACAGGCTAGGTTCATATGGTACAGAGTTATGGCTGATGTGGGAGTTGCACAGGGTAACTCAGGCCCTTGGATTTCCCACTGAGGGCACCCAGGAATCCTGAAGAAAATCACTATAAATCTCCTGGACTTTTTGCTGTGCTGGGGTTGAAGCCTGGAACCTTAATATTTGAGACAGGCATCCTGCCCCTCCCCACCTCTGCCTTCAGACCTTCCTGTACTACAGGGGTGTTCTGAATGGGTGGAAAAGTCCATGAAGAAGAGCAGCCCGTGGGAAACGACGCCCCTACACCCCACTCCCTAGGGCCCCCTCTTTATGATAGCACTATTTGTTTATTTTAGTGTGTGCCTGTCGGCGGAGGCCACACTGGGTGTTTTTCTCAGTCCCTCTTCACCTTATTTTTAATGTATACAAGTGTATTGCCTGCGTTTCTGTAAGTACACCCGTGCAATGCCCAAAGAGGTCGGAAGAGGGCGTCAGATCCCCTGGAACAGGAGTTATGGCTGATTGTTGGCTGCCTTGTGGGTGCTGGGAATCAAACCCAGGGCCTCTGCAAGAGCAGCCAGGCCTCTGTCTTCCCAGCACATTGGCTGCCTTTCTACCATGGCGGCTCTGGAAACACCTTCAACACCAGTGCAGGGAGACTCAGACCAGCCTTTCCTCTCCTCACAGCGGTATGTGGATGGAGGTGTGAGCGACAATGTCCCCCTGCTGGATGCCAGAACCACCATCACAGTGTCCCCTTTCTACGGGGAGCATGACATCTGTCCCAAAGTCAAGTCCACCAACTTCTTCCAAGTGAACGTCACCAACCTCAGCCTCCGTCTCTGCTTGGCGAACCTCCACCTTCTGACAAGAGCACTCTTCCCACCTGATGTCAAGGTGAGGGGTGTGAGGGCTGCTTTTCTCTGCCCCGCCAGAGAGCTAGGGGTGCCAGTTAGTTCTTCCAGGAGCAAATAGGGAGGTGCAGTGTCATGGTGGCAACTCTGAGGAAAGGTGATGTCCTAGGAGCTGGGTGATGCCCACCTGACCACAGGGTCTACCGGTGTCATATGGACTAACCCAGAGTTCAGACCTCACCTCCAGGGGTTGGGGTCTAAGAAGTCAGGGGTTGGGGAGGGCATCGTAGTGTCATTTCCTGTTGCTGTGATAAAAATACCTGGACAAAAGCAGCTTTCCTAAAAAGGTTCATTCTGGCTTGCAGTTCAAGGGACAGACCATCGTGGCGGGAAGTCGAGGCGGCAGGAGCTTGAGGCAGCTGGTCACATCACATCCATAGTCAGAGCAGGAAAGGATGATGCATACTGCTGCTCATCTCCTTCTCCACTCACACATTCCAGGGTCCCAGCCAGGGAATGGTGCCACGCACAGTAGCCCGGACTTCCCACCTCAGTGAACACACTCAAGATAATCCCCCACAGCCGTGCCCCGAGGCCAGTCTCCCAGGTGATTCTAGATCCTGTCAGGCTGGACATTATCCATCACAGGGGGGTAGATGGTGTGGTGCACGCCTGTATCCCAGCATCCAGGAGGCAGAGGCAGGTGGATGGAGCATTTGAGGCCAACCTGGGCTACCTAGCAAGACCCTGTCTTTAAAAAACAAAATAGGCTGGAGAGGTGGCTCACCAGTTAAAAAGCATGTACTGATCTTGCAGAGGACCCACGTTGGGTTACCAGCACCCACGTTGGGAGGCTCACAACTGCCAGTAACTCCAGCTCCAGGGATCCAGTACCTCTGGTTCCATGGGCACCTGCAGTTATGTGCACATACAGTAAAAAAATAAAACATAATAATAATAAAGTGCCCTGGGGATGGTCTGTGGGTGAAGGTGCTTGTTGCCAAGCCTGAAGACCCGAGTTCAATCCCTGGGGCCTGCTTGGTGGAAGGCGAGACCTAACTCCTGCAGGCTGCTTTCTGACTTCCACTTGCACACTGCAGCACACGTGTGTGCACACGTGTATACACACACACAAAATCAAATGTAATAAAATAGGTCTTGGGGAGCTGGCTCAGTGGTTACGAGCAGTGGCTGCTTTTGCAGAGGACCAGGTTCAGTTCCCAGCACCCATAGGGTGCTAACAACTGTCTGCAACTCCAGTTCCAAGGGATCTGA